GTGCACACTCAAAAACACACATGAAAAAACAAAACAAAAACAGGTGTACTATCAAACGTGGAGACAAAAGATGGAGACAGACAAGTAGGGAGACTTTGGACACCACGGGGGGCAGGCCATAGGTCTCAGTTGCTATTGGAGACGTCTCTTCGGCTGAGCAAACGACAAAGAGTTACCGTTCTCTCCCAGAATAGATTGCTCAACCCCCCCCCCCCCCCCATGACAGGGAGGGCAAGGATGAGAACCACTTGGTCAGTCATGCAGTGTGAACTTGGTGAGTTTGTCTTTGACGGGGGAGAGAGAGATAGTGTGTGTGTGTATGCATGTGTGTGTGGCTGCATAATCATGTGAGTGTAATGATATTTAATAGAAAATTAAAAATATCCCAGGGAGCAAGAGCAATTTTCACACCTCAAAATTGCTGACTTGAAATAGTCACTCACTCCTACTATATTTCCATGGACACTTGTGTGTGTGCGGGTGTGTAAGCGTAAGAGGAAGGAAAGCTGTGTGTGTGTGTGTGTGAGTTTGCGTGTGTGTGTCTCAGTATATCATATCAGCGTGAATAAGAACCAGGAGGGCTTGACTTTCACATTAATGTATCTGCAGCCTTCTGCAGAATTAGAGGACCATGCATGCTCACCTCATTATAACATCATCGCAAAACTGGATCAATTTGATTTGCTGCGCAAAATGACACCCATGTTGATGCATCTGTGAAGCCTGATGAAACAAATAAAAGAAACTTTATGCATGTCTTGAAGATGTCATTTTCTTGTAATGAAATTCAAACAAAAGTGAAGTTTTTTTTTGTGTTTGGCTCTGCTTTTTTTTCTCTCTCTCTCTCTCTCTCTTCAGAGACTGATTTAGTAACCATGCAGTTACTCCAGTAATAGTCTCAGCCGATGGTAAGGAACCGTTATTCACCTCTGTGCATAAACGAGCCCAAAGGACCACCTTCTTGCATAAAAAAGAATAACATTCTGCCTCAGAGTGATGTGGAAAACTAATCCAAGTTTTTGCTCCTTCTTGGCTACTCAAAATGACTTATTGCTGGAATGTTCAAATACCTCTCTGCTTCCAGCTGATTTAAAATGCTACAGTGAAATTACTGGAATCTGCAGAGACGACAACCATCACGTGAGATCACATTTCTCTTATTTTAGCCCTTTTTTCTCCCCACCAGATTCTGGTGTAATTGAAAACAGAGCTTGAAAATGTTTTCTTCTACTTACTGATCTGACTTTATCTGACTTTCTGTCATATTTTACTGTAACTACCCAAAGGTGGGTGAGTGATCATGTATTTGTGTATGTGTGTGTGTGTGTGTGTGATTGTGTATTTGTTGGCAAAATACCACTGTATTAATAATGAAACTTTCAGAAAGTAATCACCAAGTGATTATTATTATTAATTAATTGACCTTAGCAAAAACAAAAATAGTTAGAACTTGGCATTTTTACTAGATCTAGTGCCAAGTTATAAAAATGCCAAGTTATAACTATTTTTGTTTGTTTAAAATTGTTTATTTATTATTATTTTATTATTTATTTGTGTTTGTTTAAAAATATTATTTGAATCGATGGATACCTGATTCAAATAATAATTTTATCAGTCCCATCAATGATACTGGGATGGATTGCAATTAGCACTTTCAGCCATTAGCTCCAGATTTGCTACTTTTAGCTATGATCTTACTTTTAGCTTTTGGCAACCATTGTGCTTATTTTGCAGTTTAGCTAAGTTTTTGCTATTTTTAGTTTTTAGCTATTTTTGTTTATTTTAGTAAGAGCAGTGGCATGCTAATTTTAGCTACTGTTCTGCCCAAAACAGTGATTAGCCTTTTGCTACATCTTTGCTTTTGTGTTCTGCTCACTTTAGTCTTTGTTTTACTGGTTTTAGAGTTCTGCTTGTTTCACCTTTAATTCATTCTTTAACACAGAGGTTCTCAAGATGGGGTCACTGGACTCCTAAGTGTCCGCTAGTCTTAGATTGGTGGTCCTCAAAAAATTACACAATGCACCAATTAAACAGGCATATTAAATCAATAAATAAAGTATTCCCATGACATTTTGGGGTTTACAAGTAAATAACTTGTAATTAGTATACGGTTTATGAGAGTCCCAGAAAATAAAAAAGAAGACCTAAAAGTTTGGGAACCCCTGCTCAAACAAATTACAGCAGTTATTCAACACATTGTTTCTGTCAGAATCTGTGTTTCTTTAGTTGTTGCTGGCAGTTTTTTTGTGATTTTTCTTTAGTTTTTCTTTTTTATTATTATTTTGCCATCTTGGTTTCTTTTTTTTTAATGTGTGCCATTTTTTTCCCCAGTTTCCTCTGTGTCATCTGCCACAACTTCCTCATTCAGTTCCTACTCATGTTATGCCCCGCCCACTCTCACCTCACTTCATTTTGCCCAGGTGTCTCCACTCTTCCCTGTCTTTAGTCACTCAGTTTTCACTCCACCTTTTTCAGTCTGGCATTGAGTATGTGTCATGCCATTTCTGATTTTTCAGTTTTTTTCCTTCTTTTTTAATGTCACCATGGCCGCTTATTTGTTTTTCTTATTAAAGTTTTTTCATTTTAAGGTTTTTTTTTCCCCCCAAGCTCTGTTTGTCTGCATTCCAGGGTCCAGTTCCTGCAAATCATGAGAACTTTTTTACATAAGGAAAAAAAAAATTGTATAGGTCTTCTGGACGGGTTCTTCTTTAATGAAACGTTTCGTC